TCAGGGAACAGAGTGAACCTGTCTATCTATTTATATTGGTACGTTTATGTAGTAAAATAATAACACAGTCTTTAGTGTCTTTTTGTTTCGATCTTCCCATGTGTCTTTCTATTATTATAAGGTGCTTTAAAAATATCTACTACGGCTTCAATGGATGGTAGTATTGTGTTTATTGATTAGGTACAATAGTGAAGAAATTTCGTACCCCAGAACAATAGATTCAAATTGATAAAATATACCTAAACAAGTTACATTAACAATATTGGCTCTGTTCTGCATAATATGGTTTACAAATTACGTGCAATGAGTTCTTCGTCAATGAAAACAACAGTACCTACTGTTCTAAACTTGGTGCGGAACGGCAACAGCCTGGATGGTTTCAAACATAAACATAAAACCACTTTATTTATTAAAATCAAGTTTTATAAGCATCTTTTTGTATTAATGATATGGTGAATAAACAATAATGACAAATTTACGTAATTATTTACCTACTATTGCAATTTCTAAACGCAATACTATCGCTTAGTGCAGCTGTGGCAGGTATTTTTAAAGCAACTTATCATCCAGGCCATAAACTCCAAAAAAAAAAAAAAAAAAGCAACTTATCGTTTCGTGTCTTTGTAAACTTTTTTTTTGTAAACACACCCTGTCACTGGCCCACGACACACGAGACAAGGCTAAGAAAAAAAGATGGACGAATTATTGGATGTGTGGTAACCTCACTCACACAACGAAATACAACGTGTATTTGTTGCTTCATGCCGGTCGATTCGAATTCTGCGAGGCCGTGGTATAACACTGAATCACACTTCCTGATCGATTTAGATTATGGTTGCCAGTCTGATTAATTAGACCATCCCTCTACGTGGTAGATATTATACTCAGTGATAGTGATGGCTAAAGTACACAAATCTTGCAGGACGCCAAAGTGACGAATTTGTTCAGAGGAGTCAATCCCATCAAATTTGCCGAAGTCGCCAAGTATGAGTTGTATTGCTTCCAGAGATGGAACGATGGGGATCCCGTAGATCGGCCACTTTACGAACTCGATGAACCTTCACCTGAAGAAATGGTTAAGTATCAAACATAAATTAACTAAATGCACATTACGTCCATCCTTGTAGCTTAAATGTGAAAGATTTTGTTAGGTATGCCAGCCAAAACATGATTTATCCAGGTGTGGTACATTGAAGTCTAAGCACTTAATCATACAAATGCCACATAAATTATGAGCTTCTAGTAAACACAACACATCAAATCACCCCAAAAATATATTTGGTTTTATTGGACTTATGTTAAAACGAAATTATAAAATGGAAAATCATTTTCAAATATTTTAAAGATTAGTCTGATATAGGTAATCTACCGTCTATACCTACGTGAAGTTTTTATATTTTAAATATTTTTTGTTTGTTTCTATCATAAATTTATCAGAGCTTCAGATTTAGTCAGTTCACGATATAGCAGTCAGTTGTCAGAATTTTCCGAAGCCATGTAAAATTTATGTGCCTACGCGAATTTATGACAAACACGATTTATGTCCTTCGTATGTACCTATATATGTATGTATGTATGTACTGAACTCTTTTTCTTTTTTATGAATTTATGATTTAGCGGCTCGGTTTTAATAGATACTAGAAGACACTAATATTTTAAGAAAAGTTTCTGTGGTGTTTAATAACTGGGTTTAATAAAATATGGCGGGATTGTCCCAATATTTTATATCAATTTTTTTAAGTAAGGAAATCTAAAGAAGTATTACTTACATATCTTTTTTTTGTGAGGGAAAAATCATCGAATGACTCCTAACGTCGAGGGTAGGGCGCCCGTTCCTTCTCATTCTCCAGACCGAGACCGCGGTCCTATATTGCGCTTGACCAGCAACCCCGACTGAACATCGGACCTGTTGCCCTTCGCCTGTGGTGGTATGTTAGAAAGCGCGGAACGCTATGCGCTGTACGCTCGGATTTGGTTCTCATAGGCAAAATAACCTAAACCCTTTCAAAATCCTGGCAGTTTTAACAAAACAAATGTAGTTGTACAACCATGCAAAGCAAGGATGGGTAGCTAATTAACTGCACGGTTGGCGCGGTGGCTCGGCAAGTGACTGCCGCGCTACGTGTTGTGGGTTTGACTCCCGAAAGAACAAATCTATATGTGTGATCCACTAGGTAGTTGTTGTTATGGGTCTGGGTATGATGTGTGTACAGAAGAAAATCCTAGTGTGGGGCGTTAACGTTTTTTTTTTTAAACGAAACTAACATCTCTCCATAAAATTCACCTTTCCTTACTTCCTTGAGGAAAACGAAGCGATCTTCATACTCTCGGTTCTATATGTTACCTTAGTATAATACATTTTTAGCTCAGAGCTTTTATGTCATAGGTATTTCAGTATCACGTTAATTAAGGGGACGGCTAATGATTTCCCAAGAGAGAAATAAAGTATAAGATCTAGGCTAACTTGTAGCGTAAAATACCGAATTAATATGTCTGGCTTTTTGGTTTAACTAGGTACAGTTACACAAACTTCAAGTCGAAAATGGACTGAAAATTTTGACTCTACTTAAGCGATTTGATCTTTGACTGCACGCTGGGTCAACTCGAGGCTGTCTAAATATTTTGTCCTTGAGGTTAACTTCTTTTTCGGATTCTTTGCCTAAACATTAGTGATACACTGTTCTCACATATACCAGAACCGACTAAATGATGTAACAAAGAAATGATTTGAAAAAAAATAGTACCTAACCATGGAGTTTCTTGCTCGTTTTTCTTCATCTGAATCTACACTTTGAAACGAGCGTATAGCTTCACTAGACGACAGACTGACATACTGACACGCATAAAGTTAAATATCTTAAAATATATTTTTTATTCTTTTTTTTTGCTTGACTTTCAAAAGTGCCTACTATGGTCTAATTGAAATAAATGATTTTGACTTTGACTTTGACGCTTGGCGCAGTAGCTGGGTAACCTGGCTGCTGTGCAACCAGCGGGTCAAAGATTTGTGTGATCCTCAAATAATTGTTTCGAATCTGGACGTGATTTGTATGTGAATTTCTATGTTTGTGAACGCAGACGCGTCACGGAAGAAAATCATAGTGCAGGGTGTGCAAAGTAAAAAATTAAAGATTATAATGAAACTTGGTATTTATACTTAACATTCATATCAAAGTAAATGTGGAAGAACCAAGCTTCGACACGAATGTTGAGACTTGAACCACTTTAGTCGTTATTTTCAATGTCGTATGTCTTACGATAGAAACTACTCCAAAACCTAGAACTAAACGTAGTTACACACGATATTATCATTTTCATTTCAGATTCAGGTCATTGTGTAGTTGAAAATGATAAAATATGCATAGCGTCACAAGCCAACTCGACTTAGGTTGGGGTATCAAAATACGATTCCCGTTTATTATTACAAGCTGAGCAGTGAGCTTGTAAACAAGGCTGGATACACATTATTTATGTGACATTTACATTTTGTTTGTGTTGTACAGTCCAATACAAAGGGCCATATCGTTTAGGTTTCTAGCTAAATACACATTTTTTTTAAGTGCCCATACTTAAGTAACCAAACTTTGGCTTTAATGGGCCGGGTCGACCAGAGGTAGTACCAATGTCCCACAATGCCACAGCACAACGCTTGTATTTCGCCGTGTAGCTTACCCAAATCCTATCGTGATCGACTCACCCCCTATCCCCCAATCCCCAATACTTATGATTGCTTAGGGATTGGGCCTTAACCATCCTCCGTTGCACAACGAAACGTTTTTTTACGCTAGCTTTTCACGGCGGCAGAGAGTGTCACACTCTTACTGACAAATCATTCTAACACAAAAAACTTCGGAGTATTATAGGTACCCAAAAATAAGATTAAAAAATTAATTGTACTCTTGTAGTGTCGAATTTTCTTTGACTTATGCTCAGTTTCCGAAAGCCCGATCAATGTTAAAATCAACAAACTAGGTGTCAAATCTCTTGTCAAGTCATCTGATTGGTTGTTGATAATTCAGTCAACCATTTAACATTGATCAGCCTTTCGGAAACTGTGTTAATCAACGATGCTCTCTTATTTATAAAACTAGCAATTTGTTTACAAAATTTTAACGCTGACTGTACCGAAGTACTAAAACACATAATGCTTGGCTGGCGAAGGAAATTGGTAGGGAAGCGCCAATGAATTGCGGTTTACATCTCATGATAAATGGTAAATGTTTATTTGTTTGAAGATAATAATTTCTTTTATAGTTTTTTCCAAAAGCATCAGCAAAAAACAGATGAAAGTATATATGTACGGACAGAAATAGGAAAAAAACAATATGTCCAATATGAAGGTATTTTAACAGGATTGGATGTTAGCAAGAAAGATGGAGAAGGATCAAGAAGTTTCAGCAATAAACGATCGTCGCACCGCCCGGCAAGCCGTACGCAAGCGTCACCGCGCCGAGCTCATGGTGCCATTCCTGCAAGACATCAACTTCGTAATTTTCTGGCCTCATTGCTATCGTGCCCATCCTGAACTTTATGAACAGTGGGATGCGAACAGTTGAGTGGTTTAAGTTATTCTGCTGTTTGAATGCCCCTAGGAGGTGCTGATCGATTCATCATCAGCCTATAAGTGCCCACTACCTACTGAGCAAAGGCCTCTTCTCGCATGCAGAAGGTTCAAGCATTAATCACAACGCTTGCTCAGGAAGGATTGGCTATTTCAAACTTATACCTAATTAGAAATTATGAGTCCAGGTGTCTTCACGATGTTTTCCTTCATCGTATGCCAGTGGTGTCTAAATATTCATAGAGAGTGCATATAACTTGGGAAAAGTCACATTTGTACTTGCCAGGTTTTGAAACCGCACCCTCACATGGAAGCGGGTGGGCTGGGTTGTTTCTCTGTTTTGTGTTTGTAATCTCTCTGGTGGATCTTGGACCTGAAGGAAAAAAAAAATATTTACAACATAAATTTCAATAAGTATTGGTATTTGCTAGATATCATAATGATTGGTCGTGAAGAGATAGAGATTTCTGAAGATAAGGTAGCGGACGTATTCTACGCTGGCGATGCCCCGTTGAATGAAGCGTCTTTGTACAAGCTGAAGTCGGGACCAGCTCTTGCCATATGCTTCCGACTTCTGAATACTGATGTACATTTTGTTTGTAAGTAAATTTTTGTAACTATTATATACAAGGTATTATTGAATGAAAGTAACTTTTGCAGGTGCCAAAAAATCAAATGGAATTTATATTGAAACAGTGTTTTCAAAATTTCTAAAAAAGCTTAAAAACAAATTTTGGAAAAAAATGAACCTAACCTCTGTTTACAATAATTGCATAACAGTCATTGGTAGCAATAGATAAAATAAAAGACTGCATCTCCTGTACATCTAATCAAATTAATTCTTATCTTTACTTATATATTATTAACATTATAAATTTGAAGAGTTTGTTTGAACGCGCTAATCTCCGGAACTGCTGGTTAGAATTGAAAAAAAAATTGTGTTTGTTAGTCCACTTATCGAGGAAGACTATAGGCTATAAAACATCACGATACAATCTGAAGGAGCCTAGCAGCAAGTAGCTAGTATTGTATAAATTAATAATCTTTGTCACTCACTGTATAATCTAGCTTTAGTTCGTCGCATCCTCTATGAAACCATCTATCCACCACGTGATGAGGCGCATGATAGTGAATCTCCGTGGTCACCAAAAACTGCTTTCGACCGATATAAGTCCTACAGTCCATGCAAAGAGGAAATCTGGCAACACCGTAAAGAAGAAAAAGTGGAAAGAAAGGCAGGAAATTTGATATCATTATTACCATGTTCGTCTTAGTAAATTGTAATGATTTCTTTTGTTTTTTTTTTTATTTATTTTTTGTCATCATCATCAGCCTATAAGTGCCCAATGCTGATCAAAAGCAGCACAGAAGGTCAGAGCATTAAGCACACTTCTTGCTCAAGACGAATTAGCGATTTCAAAAAATTTGAAATTATAAGTCCCGGTATCAATATCACTACCACATTTTTTTTTGTACCTACTTTATTTTCGTGGTTTGTTTGGCGTGCTTATTGCCAGATAAATGTAACTTCTTCTTTCATACTTAATTGTAACAATTACTTGTCTTAATTCTGATTATAATAGAAATGTTTGTTTTTTTTTTGTTTTTATAAAAAACGTTGCCCCACATTAGGATTTTCTCCTGTGTCGTGGGTGCGTTTACAAACATACAATTCCACATGCACATCACACCCAGACCCGGAACAACAATTTGTGGATCACACAAAGTTGTTCCGTGCGGGAATCGAACCCGCGACACGTTGCAAGGCAGCCAGTTGCCCAGCCACCGCGCCAACCGTGCAGTCAATCAATACTTATCACAGTACGTATTGTATTACTACTGACTGCACTGTTGTCTCGGCGGATTAGCAACTGGCAGCCGTGCAATTTCTCGCGGGTTTATACATATATTTGAGGATAAAAAATGGTCTGCTTGTGAAGCGTATGTAAATTCGTATGTTTATAAAATGCATTGACGAAACAGGAGAATTTTTAGTGCGGTGAAAAAATTTTTTAACCCTTACCTACATTGCCATCAATTTACAAGTTAAGAAAATTACCCCAGGAAGAAGAAAAACAGCGCAGAGCTCGTTTCATGTCGGAAACGCGTCGCTTAGCTAGAGAAGCTATTATAGAAGCCATAGAAGCATCGAAAAATGAAAAGGAACAGAGAAAATTGCAACTTTTAAAGACTGGTGTAAGTTTAAAATCCTCCTATAATAATTTAATAAAAATTATGTAGTATATAGATAGGTTTTGGAACCGTCCGTTAGGTATATTACCATTGTTTTAACTAACAAACAGTTTCAAAGGTTTTCAGATGGCTTTCAGGACCAGTTTCACAGTACCTATTATTAGTATGTTTTGTTTTACTATTATGATTTAGCATTTCTGTTTTTTTTCTGTCTTTTTAATCTTTTTTTCATTGTCATTTCTTTTTATGTTGTATTTTTATTTGTTGCTGGCCTTCATGTCTGCTGCCGAATAAACGCATTTTTCATTTCTTTTTTTAGTAGGTGCTTGGATAGCCACTATGTAACAGACTAATTCGCATAAAGAAAGTAATTTGTAGGTTATGTTATGTTCTCCAAAAGCTTTAAAAGCGCCATTGAACAAAAAAATTTTTTTTTTGTAATTTAACCATATCTACATACAATCATTTTTATTAAGTTTGTATGTTGCTGATGGTAAGCATTCGGTGCGCCTATGGCCATTCCCAATACCAGAGAAATTGCAAGAGCATTGCCGGCTTCTTCAAGGATTGGGAAAGAATGAGGGGAGGAAAAGTATTGGTCACACGGCGCAACACAATACTGTAGGTAAGTCATTGTATTACATGACTTAACAGTTTAAAAAACCTTGGCCATATATTGGTTAAATTTCTTCCAGAACCTTGAAGCTCTGGCGGCGTTGAATGAAAAGTCTGATCTCAACTTAGCGACGCTTGCATCAGAGCTATCAGTGGTACGATTAGTTCTTAGATTGTTTGTGACTCTTTGTAACATGGTAAATGTATATAATTTAACAGTAGGTAATTGAAGACTATTGGGTACGTACTTAATATTGGTCAAAATAAATTAATTGAAAATAGCGATAGAGCTTACTCTCGTGAAATAAATCGAGAAAAAGTACGGCAACGCGGCGTTAACGCGACGTGCACGCTGCTCATGAATAAGAGTCCCGTTGTGACTTGAAACTAGTAGAGCTTTTTCCTCGGTCAATTCACGCGTAAACCGTAAGTAAGTAGTTACTTTCAATAAATTCAGTATGTCTCACAATAGTTTATATCCAAAAATTCCCTTGAAGCTTGACGTAGCCGTGTGATCTACATCTGTAAATATTCTATAGACTTTCAAAGATGATACTGCTGATGAAGAGGAAGAAGAAGAAGAATTTGTTATAGATGAAAATGAGTACTTTCCACCGCCTGGTCTACTTATACCTGGGTTCTATGCTCCGCCCAACGACATTGCGAAGACAAATGGATTAGCTGTACTCTTTCCTAAGGTTAGTTATGATTCTGATGATAGAATAAAGATCAATTTTACTAAAACGCACTTTATTGCTCTGAGAATAAGGTAGTTTCAGAGAAGAACTGGCTAACCTTCATCATGTTTCACTTGATAACAAAGGATTGTATTGTTCAATAAGCGTATGCTTATATTTATGCTTTTCAACAGCTATGCTACAAGTCCCATGTAATAGAGGGCTTTAACTAAGCGCAATTTCCTTCAGACTCCGTGCTACGACACACAAAATTCTAAGAATTCTTTGACTATCTTAGAATTTTAAGCTCTTGCAGCCTACTTCTGCCTCAAAGAGCCAATAGACCACCACGAAACGGGGAGGTTTTAAGTCAGTAAGAGCCTGTCACTCCCTCCCGTCCCACCCTGGGCGGTAGAAGTCATTTGATGATTTCCCCTCACAAAAAAAGCCGTACCTACTTGTAAATAACTTTCAACCATGACGGTTTTAGAGGGCAGAAACCACCTTTTACTCCTCGCATAAATCTGTCTGCAGTCGATACTTATGTGCCAGGTGCAGGTCCCGACCATCTCCATTGACCTTGAATCAAAACGGTTATTGGCTTTGAACCATTAACCAAACTTATATTTGGTTTACAGTTAGTCCGAGAACGAGTTACTCCAAATCCAGAGTTTTTACCACCACATGTACTTGTCTTATTGGAGATCAATAAACGATACAAAGCAATTGAAACAATAGCACCTTATAAACATGCCATTATAAATGTAAGTACGAAAACCGCTTTTATTTCGAACAGTTAAAGATCAAAGTCGAATTGTCTGCATATCCACTACATTGCAAATTTGGATCTAGACATAGGCTTCTATCTATCTATCTATCTATATATATAAAAATGGATCGCCAAATGTGTTGGTAAGCGCATAACTCAAAAACGCCTGGACCAATTTTGCTAATTCTTTTTTTGTTATGTTTGTTATTGTCAGGAGAAGGTTCTTATCAAAGAAAATATTAGAAAAGTAGAGGGGAAGTTTAGGAAGTGACCCGTGAAAGTGAAAAGCGAGATAGTTGGACCCGTGCGAAGCGGGGGCGGTCCGCTAGTCTTATATATAAAAATGGATCGCAAAATGCGTTGTAAGCGCATAACTCAACAACGCCTGGACCAATCTAGCTAATTCTTTTTTTGTTGTGTTTGTAATTGTAAGGAGAAGGTTCTTATCAAAGAAAATATTAGAAAAGTGGAGGGGAAAATTATGAAAAAGTGACCCTTTGATAGCGAGATAGTTGGACCCGTGCGAAGCGGGGGCGGGCCGCTAGTCTATAATATAAAAATGGATCGCGAAATGTGTTGGTAAGCTCCCCTTTTCTTTTTCACATACAAACGTTTTCTAACTAAAACGTAGAATCAATTGGAGCTTTATTATTATTACATAAAGTTCATATTAAATAACAAGCAGTCACTGTTATCTAAGAAATATAGGTGTGTTCCTAACGTCAAAAAGTAAATTTGCACTTTCTTACCGCTATACAAAGTTCAAATTCAATCATATCTATCAAAACAGCGTGTGTAATATAAATATATCAAAATAATTAAATAAAACATCTTATAGTGGTTTATTTAATTATTTTTAATTCACAGCGAATTATTACTAGGGATCACCCTGGTGCTGGCACCCTGGCAGAATATAAAATGGGTGGGAACAAAACACTGCCACATTGCAATTTTGTTTGACAGGACGAAGTCTGTCGTGTCAGCCAATATTATTATAAAATCTACCTTTAAACTTATGAGATAAAGATCAAAGTTGTAAAGTCTTACTTGTACTACATTCTTGTCAGCTGGAGTTGCGGTTACAAGCGCCATAATCAATACCCCGCTCGGACCAGGAGAAGAAATGGACTAGATTTGAGTCAGTAAGACTCCGACACCCCTTTTCCCTCAATCCAGGGCGGGAGGAGACATTTGAATATATTTCCCTAAAAACAAATTAATACATTGCCGTGCCTTTAAAGACGATCCAAGGCTGTAGTCATTGCTATTTTTACCGATTTTCCAGGTCGACCAGACAAATAAAATAATGAAGGAAGATTCTAATTTCTTTTTCTCTAATAGTACTGAGATTCTTTGGGGTGTGCAAAAACTTCATTACCTAAAAATGTGGCGAAAATTAGCTGTAAATGCTTTACAAACATAATCCGTCTGTCCCTTGGATATTAAAAGGTCAAGATGTTTATATATGTGTTGTTTACAGATGGGTATATTTGAGGCTCTCTCGCCATATCATTCCGTCCACATTGCATACACAGTCAAGCAATTTGATACACTAGATATCAGTTCTTTGAATCTGTAAGTAAACATTCGTTAGCTTATTCCTTTTGTCACCCATTGGGCCAGCCTCGTTGGTGCCGGGGTGATGCCACGGCAGAAAATCGTGTCTCGCCGTATAAGCGAGGTTATCGGAGACCCAAACAAACTAGTAAAAGACATCGGTGTTGATATCATCCTCTTCCAGTGTGGGAATTTTAATCTAAAATAAAAATGTAATCCAAATTAAATGCCTATAGAGAAAGCGATTTTCCATTAATTATGTCCAGAAAAGTTCAGCCATAATTTTGGCTGGACAGGCAAAAGAAGCCTTACTGTGTTCGGTTTTAAAAGGACGTCTGAAAATTCTAACCTGAGAAGGAAAAATAGCAACTGAACTACTTATACATATATCAACTAAAGTATGTAAGCATCGTAGTCAGTGACAATATAGGCGTGGCAGACTTCTCGTTTGAATTTTATAGTTTCAGATATCAAGGTGCATTAGGGGGTGTATCCCTGTATGGCCATGTCACTGTCACACTACTGTCTTGCATAGTGAAGGAAATCATAAAAAAGAAACTAGAACTGATATATTAAAATTATTAGTTTAATGTTGCCAATCCGGTTTGAGGGAGTATGACAATGTTCATTCCTTCTCCGTGTGGGAAGAGGCCTTTGACCAGCAGTGGACACTTATTGGCTGATACTGATGAAAATAAGGGTTATTTTTGTGAGGGGAAAATCATCAAATGACTTCTCCCACCCAGGGCCGGGCGGGAGGGAGTGTCAGACTCTTACTGACTAAAAACCCCCCTGTTCCTTCTCCTGCTCTTTGCCGAGGTCGCGGTGCCTCATTGCGCTTACCCCGCAACCCCGGCTGAACATCAGCCCTTTAGGGCCCCGTCTGTGGTGGTCTATTGGCTCTTTAAGGCGCGCGCGGAACGCTACGCGCCGTACGCTCGGGCCTGGTTCTGGTCGGGCGGCGAGCTGCCCTTACTCGCCGACCGCAGGCCCGTGCTTACGGTGGCCTGAGATCGTCCCTTGATCATGATAATAAGGGTGTAATTATTATTGAGACAACAGGAACAGTGCAGAAGATTCATTAGTTTCTTTACAACTGGCGTCATGATTTATATTTATAGATTTTTTTATGTGATATAATGGCAAATGAGCATTTTACCTGACGGTAAGCAATCTGCGCTGCTCAAGTAAATGGTTAGACCCTAAATATGTAAAGTCAAAGTCAAAAACCTTCGAACCACAGACTGTGAGTCTGTTCGTCAGTGAAGCTAGGATCGTGTTCATTCCAAAGTATAGATTATGATAAAGAATTTCTATACAAAACTTGTGCGAGAACAATACACTGAATAACGTGTTAAATAAACACACGACGGGATCAATTTCTCAACATTAAATTTTGATCCTTCGTTGAGGATGAGGAATACGCATTTTCGAACCTATCGTTTCGAAAATGCGTATTCCTCTCTCATTCATTTATAGGCAATCGGATGTTTAATTTAAAAAATTTGCTTACTATCGGATTTTTCGGTAAATAAATGATACCTACCTGTTCTGATACCAATCTGTATCGATCCGTAGGCTTTTTTGTTTGGGGAAAAATTTCACATTACTTCTACTTTAAGTGTGGGAGAGCCATGCTTCGGCACGAATGTGTCAGCTCGAGCGGAGTGATACCACGACCTCACAGAAAACCGGCGTGAAATAACCAGAGTTGTGTCTCGCCGTTTGAGTGAGGTAACCGGAGGCCCAATCCTTCCCCTACCCCAATCCTTTCCTTTCCCAAAATCTCCAAATCCCTAATGCCCAAAAAGTCGACAACGCACTCGTAACTCCACCGTCGTTGCAGGTGTCCATGGGCGACGCTGATTGCTTACCATCAGGTAATCCGTTTGCTCGTTTGCCGACCTATCACATAAAAAAACTTCTTTCTTCTGTTGACCTTGAAGTCGTCTGTAAAGTGGTCGCAAGTCATATAGCTGACTAAGAACACGGCGATTCAAAAATTGTATTGGGCAATTAATTATAAGGGGTTACCAACACTATAATTATTTTGATGTTAACATAAGCCTATCTTTATTAGGTACACATTTTTTTTTACCTTTTACAGGGACAAATTGAGGCTCGCTTTCATGATGTCAATGGAGGTCGACGTGCCATTGCTTCACTTAATGGATTTGAACCCGGTGTTTGTTAGTCGTGACTGTGCCACTGGAGAAGAGGAGTGCGCTGCCATGTTCCCTGTTAATTACGCAGACGATTACGATCAGTTCGAAGACTTTAACTAGGTAAGTGTTTAGGAAACAAAAAGTACCTAAAATTCCCAGATTTCCTAAATTGATATCATTATTAGATTATTCTGTTTTAAATAAAACGTTGCCCCACATTAAGATTTTCTCCTGTGTCGTGGGTACGTTTACAAACTTACAATTTTACATACGCATTACACCCAGACCCGGAACAACAGTTTGTGGATCACACAAAGAGTTGTTCTGTGCGGGAATCGAATCCAAGGCATATTGCGCGGCAGCCAGTTGCCCAGTCACCGCTCCAACCGCGTGTAGTTAGTATATATAAATATAAAGGATAATATGTAAATGGTGTGTATAATAAATGGGGATTATGTCGAATTTCATAAAGTCCAATCTACATATATGTAGTAGGTCAATATTTTGTAATATTATTAGCTGAAGAGGTTGGTTCTTTAACTTTGTTATAACGCGCTTATCTCTGGAATGGCTGGTAAAAATTTTACAATTATTTTTGTGTTAGATAGTTTTTTTGTGATGGAACGGCAAACGAGCATTCTGATTACCACATAGTAAGCGATCGGTTCCACCGATATCCATGGCCTTGCACCAAAGGAGTTACGAGTGCGTTGCCGATCTTTTGGTGATTAGGGTTTAAAACAATTTAGGGATGATAAAATCTGAGCTAGCTAGTTATTATATAACAATGAGTAATATCTTCAAACACTGTAAGTCCCGTTGCCAAATAAAAGGCTTGATGTTGAATTTAAGAATTAAAGTGTACATTGCATCATGCGAACTAAAATATCTGTACACATAAATATAATCTTTGTATGGTATGGTGTCAAATATCGCGAACTCATCAAAGTGTCGAATAGTTGAATGCGGACACCTCAACCAAGTAACAACGCATTTGGACTTTGTATTTTGTTCTAACAACGTCGCCATACACGTTACACAGGTGAGAATTAATAACATATTTATTTTATTTCAATCTGCCCATTTCGGCTTTACCGACTTTTTAGGTGAGTTTGACTTTTTTTTTAGTCAACTCAAACCTCGTCCCGAAACTAAAAAATAGGATAAATTTATAAAAACTGGTGTATCCATTTCGTAGTTAAGTGCGCATATACATTTTGGTGATAAATTTTACATTGTTTTGCTTTTTTGACAACAATTTGTATTAGTAGTGTAATTGTGACCTTTATTTGGATAGTCAGACCCCCTATGCCAGGGGGATTATTACAAAACTGGTGAAAAGCGGTTCTTGAATATTTTATTCAGTAAGTATGTCGACTTGCCACTAAATACTTCTGTGACAAGTCCAATCAATATTTTTTTTAACGGCGTAGAGCACGATTGTTACTTCTAGTAAAAGAACGATTAAAATAAGTTCAGCGGTTTCGGAAACTTTAGGCTACATACAAACATACAAAAACATATCGACTACTTTATAACATTAATTTACCCCAGAAGATCGTCACCGATCCTAAAATCCCTCACAATCTCTAAGAGGACGACAACACACTAGTAACTAATTTTTTGTGAGGAGAAAATTGTCAAATGACTTCTCTTGCCCTGGGCTAGGCGAGAGAGAGAGAGTGTCAGACTCTTACTGCCTAAAACCCCTGTCCCTTCTCCTGCTCTGGGCCGGTGCCGGTGCCGGTGCTGCGAGAGCCCATGGACGGGCGGCCTTGATTACCCATAATCGCCATATGTTATAAAGATATCTTAATCATTAAATATTTTTATTTCAGCTTACAATATGGAGTTATTAAGATCAAGACAATTTGTGGGTAAAGGTACGTACATTAAACTTTATTCATAACGAACCGCTCGGCTTCGCTCGGGTGCAGTGCTGGATACTAAATTTCTCATAATGAAACTTTCTCTTCAATCAATCTATCTATTAAGAAACCGCATTGGTCAGTGGGTCATCTTAGGGGCGGGTTGTAGGAGTCTGAGTATACGCTTAGGGGCACTTTGAGCAGCAAAGAAAACGAAAAAAAAAATTAGTTAAAAATAAAAATAAAAATTTGGACTTAGTCCAATTTTTGGGGTTGCGTAGTTTTAAAGATTTTTAAAAGTTAAGTTTTTTTAGATATTAAGTGTACATAGGGATATAGGGACAAGGAAAGCGACTGTGTTTTTACTACTATTGAGTGATCCAGTGACAGATCACAGTGTCCCAGCGTCCATTTTAATTATAGTCCTTTTATTAGACCTTTCCAAATACCCACTGGAAGAGTAGAGTAGCGTATATATTTTTCCATGATAGGTATTGCCATCATCACTTTCAATGTCTAATAGGACATAAGTTAACGTTTGATTAAGAGAAATGAATACATTGCGAAATTACCCCTATCAAAAATCTGCCTATGCCTATTATATTAATGTTTACAAAAAATCGTAAAACCAAAGCATACCTAGTATTCATTATGACTCAATCTGCCGTAGTCAGAGTACTACTTAGTAACTATTTAGTCCAAAAAACATTTGTTCAGGACTGGCTAAGTAACGATTAAATAGCGGTGTTCCGCGGTATGATTTTTCTGTGTATTTCAAATGTATAGATAAAAGTCTCTGTGGTCATCGTTTATCAAAACAAAAGTAAGGTTCAGACCCCAGTAGGTCATCATAGTCTCCAACGAATTTTCCACTTTACATAGAAGCACTAAAGTTGCAAATCTATTAAAAAATAATAAAGTATGACTTAGCAAAGCAAGAATAAAAACCGGTCAATCAGTTATACCTACTTAGTTTACCATAAATGTTTTCCAGTTTACATATCTGCCTTGCTGATACTGTCGAGCGTCGTGCTGTCTTCGTGCTACTGCCCGCGTGACATGATCAAGAACATCAGCCACTGCGCCTTCCACATCCATTGTTACGGCGATATCCGAGGCGTGCAACTCCCTAACGAATGCCGCGAGGCCACCAACGACCCTGTCACTGTCGACGTCACAGTCACCAACGCTATCGAATCATTCGACGATACCACAGACTTAGACTTCCTCAATACCATCACCTCTCTCAAACTCTCAGGACGATGGCAAGAAACCAAACTAAACATTCTAATGTACACGTCCAGACTGCAACACTTAAATCTCGTCAATAATGGCATAGAGACCATTTTAGACGATCCCTTCTACTATCTGAATCATCTCGAAGTACTTAATCTGTCCTACAATAAATTAAAAGACATCGAGGACCTTTTCCAGTTCCAAAAACATCCGAACAATCTAAGAAAACTATTTCTAGCCTTTAATGCTATAGAGTTTGTTCCAGGCTATGCTTTCGAAGAGCTATCCTCCTTAGTCGAACTCGATTTATCCCACAACCTAATTTCTGACCTTACAGAAGAACCATTCTGTAATCTTACTAAACTAGAAATATTAAGACTAAACGATAACAAAATAAAAGACTTAAATGGTGCTGTAAATAGCCTCCAATATTTAAAACATTTGTATCTGCGAGGAAATCAAATACAAAACATTGATGAGGAGTCTCTTAAAACTATTAAACACTTGGAAACATTTGACGTTTCGAAGAACGAACTAGAACAAGTCAAACCAATTATGTTGTCACGTCATTGGGACCATTTCACTAACCATTCGATTTGTAAAATTATTTTATCCGGAAACTTGATCACTAGTGTCCCAAACGCTTCGTCTATAGAGGTATCGTCCAGATTCAGCAGGAACCTGGACAAACACAATGTTCACCTGTACACGGAGTTAGATCTCTCCCTGAATTCTATTTCGAACATTGAGTATAACGCCTTCCAATCGTTAATTCAATTGATTTCTCTCGACTTGTCAAGGAACAAAGTTATAGATTTCAATGTAGACGGCAATGATCTTGCTAATATCAAGTATTTGAACTTGAGCAACAACTATATTTCGCGATTATATTACGGAACTTTCTCTTCAATGACGAACTTGCAGAATCTTGATTTATCCAACAATCAACTTAATTTCATCCCAGATATGACGTTCAACAGTAATTATAATTTCAAAGTTGTCAATATGACACACAATGTAATTGAGAAACTTGACAGTATTCATTTAACGTTCCACCCGGAAGGCGGTGTTTTGGACCTTTCTAATAATGGGCTATACAAGCTCAATATACCTTACGGGGAAGGTTTGCGTTTGATTACTTTGATGTTACATTCGAACAATATATCGGATCTCTCATTGGTTGATCTAAGTCATCACACAGAGCTACAAACTTTGGACTTGAGTAACAATTTAATTGGGGAACTGGATCCATCGTGTTTGAAGCTACCGGAGGCTACTCTTATGTATTTAGACTTGTCTTGTAACAAAATACAGTATATTGCGCCATCAACATTTAGCAGATTGCGCCATTTGAAAACTCTTCGTTTGAGTCACAATTACTTGACCAACTTTGAGTATGGCACATTCGCGGGTTTGACAAATCTCCTGCATTTGGATCTAGCGTATAACAGGATTCGGTATTTAAATTCAAAGTATCTGATGGATTTGAAGTATCTGCACGTTCTTTCGGTAAGGTCTAATGACATGAATGCTTTGGATTTGAGTAGTTGGTACGGTCATAGATTTGATTTGAGGGTGTATGTGGATAACAATAATCTTACTTGTGAGTGGTTGGGTAAGGTGTTGAGAGATTTTAATAATGGGTATACGAAGGTGAAACCTACTGTGTTGGTGGCAGCTGGAAAAGGTCCGCATACCTTGGAAGGTATACCGTGTATTGTGGATGAGAGCGAACCTCTTATGGACAAGTATGGGCACGAGACGGCTGATGAAAGGTTACTAATCACCAGTCAAAAGATCTTAGAAGCAGTCCGAGAGCAGAACTATTACTTTAGGAAATTCGTATCACAAGCGATACACAAAGAAGTGGACAAAGACTGAGTCAAATCCTAAGGTGATTCGTTCAATAAGGTCATAAGGTGTCGTAAGGTGTACTTGCGTTTAGGGTATGTTTCACAAATTCTTATTAACTTTATTTTATTGTAACTGAAACATTACTAGACGTGTGTTGTATGGTCCAAAATTTAATTTAGTTTTCTAAAAAGTAAAAAGAAACTGCTTTATGTTCCTATACATAATTAAAATACACGTGCTATATCTGTGCTATTCAATATTTGTTATTCACTTTTTAGATCTTGATAAGGCGTTTAAGTAAGTGTGTCCCTATAAAAACTATGATTTGGTATTAACTCATACCTAAAAATTATTAAGAAACTACCGCTTCTATATTATTTAACCGCTTCAATAGGAAAGCTGTGTCGAGTGCTTTTAAATTAAGCCTTAACTGGCGTACTCAGAACTATGTAATCAGTACCTACTTAAACTATTTTAGAGATATAATTACGCGGGTATTAACGCGAAAAATATTTATTGGAATACCTTGGTAGGCTTGACGTTTCGACCTGGTTGCACAGATCGTGGTCGCAAACAGACGTCAAACGTCAAGCCTGCCAAGGTATACGTTGCAAATATGAAACGCGAAAGTTTAAAAGTTAGTACATTAATGATTCCTAAGGTCTGGGTTAAGTACACATTAAATGTTTCTGAGCACAGCGATTGCTTTAAAATCTTAAATTAAGTTTCAACTTCTATTTCCCCTTGTATTAATTCTGAACTAGTTATTTGGTTTTTATTGTTTGAAATATACTTCATTGTTTTATTAGTTTAATCACGAACGCTTAGAGAATTTGTCTAAACGTTTTATTATGTATTCATTTCATTTTTAAATTGGTAATCAGTTCAGTTTGTATGTAGGTATTAATATTGTAATCATATTATGTAGCAATATTCATTATATTGTTTTAATAAAAATTATAATCGATTTGTATTTGGTTTTATTTATGACTAGCTACTCTCACGCCTTTTTACAGACTGCTCGGCTCCATTTGATCGTAGTGTGATGTTTATAGCCTATAGCACTCAGGAACATTGTGGCTATCTATTAGTAAAAGAATTTTGGCAATCCAACCAGCGGTTCCAAATATTACCCCCTTCATACAAAACTTAAAAATTTTACCTCTTTATAATTTTAGTATACATTTTAGAGTAATATTTATTATTATCAGTTATATATAATAATATTAAAAGGAAAACAGTTGATTGTTTTCTTGCATTGAATAGTAGGTACTTGACTGATTTGAAAAGTTTTTTAACAGTTAAAAAGCCATACTATCCCCGGTAGACATTGTCATCCTATAATCGCCCACAGTTGAGCAAAGCCCTCTTATTGCATGGAGAGGTCGTGCATTTTCGCCACGTTTGTTGAAAGGGGATTGGTGATTTCAAACTTATTATTATTAGAAATTATTAAGACTATATTTTTACACATACGAAACGAAAAAATAATAATGAAATCACAGTTATTTTTTCTTTTTTTAATGACCTTTGGTTATTGGTGTCTAAATACACGAAGAAAGTTCGTATTTCCCGAATTTCCCGTACTTGCCCGGTTTCGAACCCATGCCTTCATGCATGAGAAATAGGAGCTTTGAGGCAAATATACCATAACTGACTAAGATAAGTAGGTATTTTTCGACGTTATGGGGTTTCAGAGATTAAGGGAATTAGATTTTTTGACTGCACGGTTGGTGCGATGGCTCGGCAATTGGGCTGCCGTACAACGCGTCGCGGGTTCGATTCCCGCACGGAACAACTCTTTGTGTGATCCACAAATTGTTGTTCCGGGTCTGGGTGTCTTGTGTATGTGAAATTGTATGTTTGTAACAGCACCCACGTTTTTTTTTTAAAAAAAAGAATGAAAAGAAAGAAAAGGGAATGTGGAGGGATTGTAGTTGAAAATCCTTGGCAATCCTTCTCCCCTACTCACAAGGAGGCCCAATAGCCTCCGGTAACCTTACCCACACTGCGCTGTCGCTGTTTCACACAGCACTCCAGTCGAAAGAATTATTCGTGGTGCAGCAAGGTTCTCCCACACTAAGGTGTTTTAATTATTGTTTATTTACATCTCTGCATACCCCAGAGTGTCCCTGTGTCGCTTATGTAAGTAACTACAATTACACACAGGTACATTCTTAATGAGGTCGTGAACACGTTCATTCTATGATAATCTGTAACAATGAACGGTCTTATGTGTCAGATAACGAGACAAAACATTGTACTGTGCTCACATATGATATTTGACACTAAGTTGCCTTGGCTGGAATATTTATACTAGTCTCATTATTTTCAACGTATTTATAAACACTTATTACGATTCACTTATTATCGTAAAATAGTGGGTTCCTTTATCTCCATTTTGGCTAAAGGAACTGGTCAAAAATCGCACTTAAAGAGATTCAAGTACATCATTGAATATGAAACGTATTTCATAAAACAAAAAACAATGTTACAGATTTTTTTTTCAACTGATCCTTTGGTCCTGTAGCAAGCAAGCCGGAGCAGAATACTCTCTATGGAAATTGGATATCAAATATTCTTCATCTGTGCGGGCGTAGTTGCGGCCAGAAGCTAAATCGACACGTAATTAAATTGAAGAAGAAATATCAACACTATTGTAAATGTTCCACTTGTTTAGTTAGAGTGCACTGCTTAGTTCTATTCTTATTAAGTTACCTACCCAGATTTTTTTTTAACTCCCGAAGGTATAAGTTAAAGAAAGTTAGTTGAGAGGGGAATATCATCAACTTACTATTCTCGCCCAGGTGGGAGCGAGAGGGAGTCTCAGACTTATTCACTAAAAACTACCTACTCTAATCCTTGCTCCTTGCTTCCCTGCTCCATACCGAAGTCGCTGTACCTAATTGCGCTTGCTCCGCAACCTCGGCTGAACATTGACGAAGTCCAAATTGTAGTGGTCTAATGGCTCTTTAAGGCATGGGATCAAGGCAATAGGGTCTGCTCTATAAGGGTTCCGGAGTAACTCTATAAGAGGACCGGGTGGTTTTTATAGGTGATAGCTACTCGGTTTCACGGTTTCACTCGCTGTTCAGCTCCATTTGATCGTAGCGTGATGTTTTATAGCCTATAGCACTCAGGAACATTTTAGCTATCATTCAGTGAAAGAATTAGTCTCTATTAAATTTCCTGGCAACCGATTGCGTGTTGATTTTAACCTACTCCCAAATGGAGAGAAAATCAAGGTCAGCAGTGGAATGCCACGAACACTAGTGCACAAACTTTTGATATATTAAAGCCATTCCTAAGTCATATTACTCATGTCGTACCTACAGAACATAAGTCAAGCAAAAATATCAATTATTTTGTTTTTAAATAATAACTATGGTGTGTGTTTGTACATGTGTGTGTGTGTGTGTGTACGATAACCGATGCTACGTCCTGTCAGCTTTACTGATAAAACTGTCAAGTGCGATCGTTGCTTAAATAGTAATTGGTTCTGTTTATTAAAAATATTACTCGGTACATTTAATTTTCGGCGTGTAACTAAATCGTTTGCGTTGTGCATCGGCGCCTATTTGAGTTAATCAGAGGCCCAATCACCTCAAATATCAGCAACGTATTCGTAACTTTTCTGGTGTTACGAATATATATTTGCATCGATTATTATGTTTATTAAAATTTGTATTACATTACCATTGTTACACTGCTAGAAACCAGCCAAAGTCAAAATCACTTATTCGTCGTGATTTACTTTAATATACTAGTACCGTTGCGTTTGGCGTTTCAATACATATACAAACAGTATTTAACCAATATTTTGTGGGAGAGCCATGCTTCGCCAAAAATGGGTCAGGTCAGGTCGACCGGAGTGATACCACGGCCTCACAGAACAACAACCACAGCGGTGTGTTTCGCCGTATGAGTGAGGTTACCGGAGGCCCAATTCTTCCTCGCCCCAATACCTAAAATCTAGAAATCCCTAATTCCCAAAAGGTCGGCAACGCACTCGTAACTCCACCGTTGTTGCGGGCCGTCCATGGGCCGATTGCTTACCATCAGGTTATCCGTTTGCTAGTTGGCCGACCTATCATATAAAAAAAATATTATTATAAAACACACAAAGCAAAATTTAAGCATTTTTTTGCTTGTAAGTTGCCTACTGACTCCATATTTGTTGGTATTTAAAAATTGATTCTCTCGTCTGCAATTGGACCCTAATCGAGTACTGCGCAGTTTGCACATTTCTGTGCAAGTCCCGCTATAGAACGGACATATTTTAATGTTTAATAAAATACGAGTGAATTTGTAGTTCGGATAAAAATAGTGTAAGTAGTTTTGCATTTTTTTTTGTCGTTTCGTTTCTCGAAAACCTTTGGTTTTTGGTTACCTATCGGTAGCAATCGTTGATATCCGCTGCACCGTTTTATTGAATAATATACAATTATTTAGGTATTTGTGTACTGTGTATAGTCCGAGTGGAATTCTGATACTACATTTTCCCTCTATTGGATGTTATCATATAATCCTTTAATCATATAAACCTTAAACTTGTATCATTTAAATCTTTCTCTCTCCCTCAAAGAAAACTACATCAAAATCAGTTACGTAGTTTTAGAGATTTAAGCATACATAGGTAAATAGGAACAGAGAGGGACTATGTTTTGTACCAGGTATGTGGTGGTGCATAACACAGTGCATACATAGATATCGTAAATAGGAAATCAAATAAAGAAATAGAGGTGTAAAAGTATTTTATATTCCTTTTATCTCTTAGAATCTCTTTCTGAAGTCCTTCTTCTGATTTACAAAAAAACGTATTTTTTTTTTCAAATTATACTCTGTATTTCATTCACGCTATTCAGATCATGTCCGCGGCGTTATATTGTTATACAAACTTTTAAGTATAAATTTAGTTTCTTTTTATATTCTTTTTTACCGAGCCATTAGTATGTTGAGTAGCCATAGGTACCTACCTAAATTGATTTTAAGTCCGCATTTAAATATTTTTATCTCTTTTTTTACAATAGTAGCTTTTGCCCGCGACTTCGTCCGCGTGGAAAAGTGACTTCCTGTAGATTTTGGTATAAAAACTATCGTATGTCATTTCTGAACTATGTCTGATTGTCTGTAGCAAATATCACAGAGATCGGTTTAGTAGTTTAGGCGTGAAGAAAAGACAGATAGACAGACAGAGTTACTTTTGTATTTATAATATTAGTTTGGATTTAGATTGTATCTCTCTTTTTCTTGTAACTCTTTTTCGAAAATACTGTTAAGTTTTTAGACTTTGACCGTTTGCCGAGTTTCAATATAATAATTATTTTTTCATGAGTTTTGGACTTGAAAGATACTATGAAATGCTTTTACTAAGAATTTCGGAACTCGAATCGTTAATAGGGCGACAACAACTGGAGCCGATTGTAAAAGTGTTAATGGCTAGTTACTAACGTAACTTGACTGACTGACTTTTCCATACAATGAATTATTAAAATATAACCATATTTTCATTGTGTGATACATTGTTTTGACAACGTATTTTTTTTTCTCTTTTTAATTTTTCAGAAATAAGAATGCTATTTCACGTAAGAACATTGTAACGTCATACATATGTTGCGATTTCATACAAAGTTCATAGGATAGTATCCTTTTTGAAATTTCTGACTTTCACATTTAGGTAGTAGGATAGTAGGAAAAAATATATTTTTTATATAAAAAAAAAACTTGTATGAAATGACGTATATTATAATATACCTTCTTATATATTTTTCAGAAGCTGGTTTGAGTCATGGATTTTCCCATATTATTGTTATGTAAGTATAATTACCAAAATTATTAACATTTGTCGTATCTTGTCTTTTAATATAAGTATGGGACAGTCATGTTTTG